AATTATAAAAATTTATTTATCATACAATGGACATTCATAAAGATTGATGGATTTGTCTTCAGATACTGATGCAATTATGTTATTCCTTTGTGGATTGTACTTTACAGCCCATACCTAGAAAAACAAAGTATCCAAATTTACAACAAAAATCTTATAATGGTATGATATAATATTCTACCTGATCGTTATGTTCGTTAAATGTATGTAAACATTGTCTTTGAGCTAGTTCCCACACTTTAACTGTATGATCCGAACTACTAGATGCAAATTGTTGACCATTTGGAGAAAAAGCAACGCCAAGTACCCATGAAGCATGACCTGACATAGTTCCTGCTACATTAGGATCTTTCCTAAATGAAAAAAAAAAAAAGATAATCAATCTTTTAATCATATCTTTAATTTATGTGAGTTCAATTACTTACATATCATACAATTTCATGTGTCCATCATCTGACGCAGTTAGAAATAACTGAGAATCTGGTGAAAAACAAAGTGACCTAATAGGCATTGCATGTCCTAAACATTAAAAATTATACATATTAATGAATATAAACCGTTAAATATTAACAAAACAAATTTTTTATTACCTTCCAACGCACGCAACATCTTTCCATAAGTAACGTCAAAGATATTGATAATCCCATCAATTGCACCACTGACAATGTATTTACCATCGGGACTCTAAAATAAGTGATTATATGATACAAAATTTTGTTATTTTTGAATGAGATTATATGATTGTAAATAATATCAAAATACATACATAGGCAATGCTCAATATAAATTTCCCTCCAGTATCCAAAGTTTGTTCCTGTTTACCACTTTCCGTTCCGTACAAATGTATTTTACCAGAATGACTACCAGATACAATGAACTTATCATCTGGAGAAAATACTACCGTCCAGATGTCTATAGGGCCTACTTCAATGCTTGACATTTTCTCTCCAGTTTCCAAATCCCATAATTTTAAGCTGGAATCTAATGAGCTTGACGCGCATTCTAAAAGCACCCGTGTATATTTCTATTTATATTTCTTACTAAATGAAATCTCTTACTAATATATTTATTAAAATATGATATAAAAGAAATAGTATAAAGTTATAAATTCCTTACTGGAGCCATCTGAATTTACAGCAACTGATACTACGCCAAGCGAATGTCCAGTTAATTTATATTTTAATTGTAAACTTTTATCCTTTTGTTCCCAAACTTTAACAGTATCGTCGACCGAGCCTGTTACCAAATATTCCATTGTTTCATCCTCGTTAAACTGTATCGACTCACTGTCATACAAAGCAGAAAACTATACAGAAGATGCAAACAATGATGGAAAGAGATATATCAATATTAATTACCGTGAATCTTCATTATCCGGTTGCAATTCTCTCTTCTTCTTCAAACAGCCCCAGGCACAGGTCCAAATGCTATCTTCGTGAGCGTTTTCGGTCTTATTAAGCAACGAATACTGAAAGAAATTTCAAATTCGGCTTTGCAACGATCGCATATCATAAACAACATAACCTTTGTGTAGTAATAATTTATAAATTCATTCATGTTTCTTACCATTCTAGAAAACGTGTACTATTTCCCAGATGTTATTTAAAATGATTTTGATCTAACACGAAGTTGCTGTTAGTCAGAATTCGTTTCAGTGTTCTCCAAGTATGTATATATATTTATAAACACAAGTACATGTAACGTGATTATACGAGAGTACGTCCGCTACATGCGTGACTACAGATTACAGATCATAGCTAGATTCAGGTGAAGTGAAATGCTCTCATGTTGAAAATGTTCTAAGAATTTTGTGAAACTGCATACAAGGAATAATATAAATAGAATCGCATAAATAGAAATTATAGATTAATTTTACTATCATCGCGTCGAATTTAAGAAAGGGCATAATATATTCTTTTTCATACATCATATTACAATTGTAATTATAACCTCTTATAATTTATGTAAATGGCAAGACATATTGAAGCTATCTTGTTAAAGATATGATTTAATGATAAAGTATGGAACATAAAATGTTGAAGATATTTAGATCTGGTAGAAAAGTGTATCACAAAACTGTGGTCCAAAAACGATCTTTTCTATCAGAAGCATATCAGTGCCAGGAGGTATGGAAATCTCGTCTCCAATCTCCACTGCTGCAAAAATTTAAACCAGAGGATTTATTTATAACATTGGACAGTCAATTTCTTGCTCATGGGAAAGTGAGCCCAGTGGACGTAGACATATTTGCCAATACTGTAAAAAGCAAGGAACAGATAGAGGAATTATTGAATATACTCGAGAGATTCAGAAAAAGTGCAGAGACAACAAATACTCTAGATTCAACACATCATGCTGTTATAAGATATCTATTTGACAATGGCTGTACTCAAGAACTTATGAATGTCTTGCATAACAGACTTAAATACGGCATTTTCCCCGATTATGTGTGTTACAACATGCTGATGAATGAATATATGAAGAAAGAAGATTACGCCAATGCTGCAAAAATTGCTGTTTTGCCTATGTTGCAAGAGGATACCGATCATTTGATAACTAATGCGTTGTCTGTATATGCTTGTCATAAATATTTAGAAAATCCAGATGCCTGGCAAAAGCCGCCAGAACCGGTAGAAGATAAAGAAGAAATAAAAATACGTGTACGTTATCTTAGAAATCCATTCTTTGACGATCATTTTGATCTCATCGAACCACTTGATTTAGTTGGGAAAACATTGGCTTTTCAAGGAAGATTTATGAACAATGCATTAGGTAGAACCTGTCAGTTGAGAGGTTTAATATTATATAAAAAATATCAAGATGCATCAAATTCAATAAAACAGTGGTTAAATGAAGTTGAAGGAGATGTTATTTACAGTGAAGTTTTTGACTTAATCGAAAAAGATAAAGAGAAAGTATTTAAAGAAGAAACAGCAGCAAATGAGTTTGAACGATTAATGTCAGAAGTCAATGTGTTAAAAGGAAAGACTTTGTGTAAAGATAGTTTAATTGAAGCATTAAAAAATTGTATTAAATCTGCAGTTGAAAAGCAACACGATATAGATGTAAACGAACAATTGCAGGTAATTGAAAATATAGTAAAAAGCAGAAAAAAGACTTAATTGATTAAATTTACTGTCTATTATTTTATTTTTTATTTTTGCTTAACATTTCAGAAATATATTGAATGGGAAGAGAAGAGAAAATTAATATTAGATAAGCAAATAGAACTAATAGATCAAAAAGCTAAAAAATTAGAAATACAAAAATTAAAGGAAGAAATGAACAGACAAGAACGATATTTAACTTTCTTTGAGAACGAAGAACAAATAGAACTAGAGATAGAGAAAATAGAAACAAAGGAAAAAGAAGAAATGGATAAAGTTCTTAAAATTTATGGTGCTGAAGCAAAATTGAAGAAATTAAAAGGAGAAACAGAATATGTACCACCTATGATTTAAATATAAAATGAATAATTTTTGGCATATTTATAATTGTTGAATAAATGTATCTAGATGAAACTTTAATGAATCAAGTTTTTACAAAAGTTAAAGGGTCTACAGTGATAAGAAACAGTAAAAATACGTATCATGTTATTTATCTCTCATATTTTGTACATAATCACTCAATAGTATTTTCTTAAAAGTTTACGTAGGTTTATAGCAGATATTTCCAAAGCCATTTATTTCTTAGAAAGTTAACTGTACAATTAAAGTTTATGCTAAAAAATTATTAGGCTCTGTAACAAATAACGTTCGTTTGAGCGTTGATATTGAGTCCATTATGTCATATCTTGGCCCATTTGCAAGTAAGATTAGCATTACGTGTACAACTTTGGACCAAGGCACACATTTAACAGTTACTCTTGAACTTAGAATAACTGTTAAAGACTGTTTTGCAGGCAGCAATGTATCAAATTTTGCATAATTATAAAATTTGGTCTTCGTAATCGTATTCGTTTATAAGGAATGTCCTGTAAATACAACGATATAATTTTACTTTGGTAAAAATTTATTTAATTAAAATTTTAGCTGATTCTTCTTTTAATATTACTAAAACTTTTACCTGGTCGTTGTTATTACAAATAATACCATAATATCACAGATTATGTAAAAATCACGAAGTTTTATTCTGTAACTGTGCCGTTAATTCCGCGGTTTCTTGTTTCATTTGTTTCAAATCAGCAGTTATCCTTTCCAAATTTGCTCCAACATTTTTTGTAGCTTCAGAATCAATCTAAAACGAGATGTATTAAAAATTATTCTAATTATATTGTTATATTCTAATATTTTGTGAGCGATGTAAGAATCGTCTTATTTACCTGCTCTTCTAAGTCTCTTATTTCTCTTATAGTTGCACCTGTTTCTTCTACTAGACTTACAAGTTCGCTACAATCAGAATGAAGTGTGGCTAATAACTTATAGGCTTTTCTTGACGCTTCATTTGTTCTTGCATCTCGAAATATTAATTCATCGGCAACAGTAAAGGATCTTTCTAGTCTGCCTGTAAGTGTGTTAATTTCTTTTTGGATTTCACGTGTATCAACTAATACTTTATTAATTTCATCTCTTTGTTTCCTAATGTTGTTAATTATTTCTAAAATTCGTTGGGTGTACGCGGATCTATTCACTTCTTTGGGCAATTTTTGAACTTCAATTACCAATTGCGAATATTGTTGATCTTTATTACGACATTCTTCTTGTAGTTCTCTTTCCTTTTCTTTTAATAACTTTATATCATCAAGCTTCTTTTGACTTGCACTCTAAACACACATATCAGATACATGAGATTTTCATTTTGTACGTGTATGATCAATTTGGATTTTATTTTATATTAAAATGACAGTACTTACAGTTTTAGTAGAATGTTTTTCTCGTTCTTGCCTATACTTTTGAATTAGAGGCACTCTATGTTTCTCCCACTGATTACCTAAATTGATTAATTTACTTGTTGTTGTTTCAATTGCTGCCTCTAGTTTCTTAATATTTTCTTCACCGTCTTGAAACAGATCATAAATTCTTGCTTTAATTTTCTTTTGTTCTTCATTAATTGTCAATTCTTTTTCCTCGTTTTGATAATTTGTTGTTACTTGTGTTACACTAGTAGTTAGGTTCTTGATTGCATCTTGTAATTTTTCCATGTCATTTCTGAGACTCTCACATTCTATTTTTATTTTTTCTATTTGTAAGTCTTGTTTTTCCATTTTATCTAATATTTTTTGATCTACAATTTTAGTTTCTCTAGTGCCATTATCTTTTATTTGAGGTTGCTATATGCAAAAAGATAACAAGAAATTAATAGAAAAGTTTCAATGAGTCTACAAACATCATTGCCAATATTTTTAAAGCTTACTGTAGAAGGTAATGTTGTATTTTTTGTTGAATCCCTATTCAGAACATTAACATCACCAGACACATTAGCTTCAATCATTCTATCGCAATATTGTTTGTTCAACCAATTTATTTGATCAAGAATACTCATTGAATGTGAATGAAGAGCTCTTGCATTGTAAGATATCAAAGAAGGTAGAAATGATGATTCATTTTGCACTTGCTCAGGCACAGATTGCATATAATGTATGTAATAATCTTGGTATTCTGCGATAAGTAGAATTTAAGTATATTCAGTCGAATAACGTCGAAATACATTAAAAATGAGCAATATTACCTTCCTTACTTTCCATTTCCGGAATTTCTAAATTTACAGATTTATAAGGGATTCTCGCTCTTCCTCTATTTCTGAATCCCTTTATATGACAATAATGTGGCAACCATGGAGCTGTTAGGCTTTGTGCTATTGCTGTAGCTATAGATTTTTCTAATAATGCAACATTACTAACAGGTTCACTTAGAGGTTTATCACTTTCTTTTGGTAGTTTTTCAATAAGAAACATAAAAACTTTTCGCAGATCTCCTTCTGAGCTATATAAAAACGTTTGGTAGCCAATATCACCTTTGTATCCTAATTCCTAAATTTACAAAATTAGATATCAATAAAATTAAAATGTTAAAATTAAGCAAATAATTTTCATACTCATAAAATCTTACTGAACATGCTTGAGCAAGTGTAGCACCTAGTCGAAATCTGGCTGCCATATTCACAGGTAAAACTGTTGACAATCCAAGGCCTGGCCTTATTATGTCCAAACATTTTACCGTTGCCTCTACTACTAACTCTGTGTTAGTGTTGAAACCACTGAGATTTGTTATAGTTTCTTCTATGTCACTGAAAAAAATTGATGTTAAAAAATTTCCAAAATATTTTTATAGAAATGATATCTTATTTAACGTTGAATTAGTAAAACAAAAAAAAAAGAGAAAGAAAGAAAGAATTAAATAATGTCTGTATACTAAATGAATATTACTTGAGCTGATGTGCTTTTCATGCAAATTATTTCACGTTTTTGCAACTATTTATTAATCATTCAGCATTTGCAAAAACCCTTCAATATCATAATCTATTCAAGGAAACTCTTGAAGTTTAACGAACTAAATTATGAATTATTATTCGAAGGTATAGAATTTAATGCAGATAATATCACCACCCACTAGTCGTATAAAACCGGTTCATATCAGATATCAAAAGTTTGCTAAATGTCGTGTGAAGCCGCTCAAAATAGAACTTACCAGCCTATTTGACGCAATGAATGAATGATTATATTGTCAACCTCCTCCATCATCCGTAAAAACGTGAAAATTCTAAACCTTCCTACAGTACAATTGTGTCGAACGTGAACTCAAGTTGAATTGCACAAATCTAACCTGTCCATGAGTGAACAAACGGGACAAACATTTGTGGCACTGTGCAATTATACAGATGGCGCGACGAAGTATCAGTTTTACCAATGCGAAAAATGCCATTCATGCTATATCGATCGTTTTATTTTATTATGTCTCGCCTCTGATTTGAAAAACGTTTCGTGACTACACCTGAAACATATGATTTCGTAACTGTATAACGATTACAGATCTTTCCTTCAAAGCATTTTACGTTAATAAAC